AGGGGGGACCGCGGGGTACCAGCGCCTGGTTGCGGTGCGTGGCGTCGGGTCCGGAGCGGCGGGGGTAACCTCCGAGCCCCTCCGAGCCCGCCTGGCCTTTGCCGGCTTGTTTTAAAATCGTAGCAGTGGCACAATTAGCCGGGTAGGCTTCTTGTACCTGGATCAGACGTTTTCGCTTGTTCTTTTTAAGTTTATGCAGGATCGCGTATCTTTTGTCCTCTCGCAGCCGGTATAAACGCCTGATAAGGTGTTGTAAGCAACTCAGCAGTAATGTGATCGCGTACTTTGTGTGTTTCGGGTCAAGCCTCTGCTGCCAGATGATTTGGAGCCGCTCACATCTATCAGGCTTTAAACCAACTCCGTAATTTGCAAGTGCTGTTGTAAGCGTATGTCTCCGTTTCCTAGTTTAATTTTACCATCGGGTTTTAACACTAAAATGGTGACACGATAGTCCCTACGTGCAGTTATCCCTACGCTGTAAGAGCTTCCTAGATCCGTAACCGAAATTTATACTGAGAGGCAGATGAATTGAAATTTCAACAAGCAGCTTGGGTTCAAATTAGTGATTCATTGAAGAGCTGGGCAATGTCTAAATTAGTTTCAGACTAGCTAGGGCAGCAGTTGTTGCCAGCAGGATGCCGTTAGAGACTCGGGTTGCAAAATCTGGGAGCTGAACTGCTGACACTCAAGCTAGCAGGACTCCCTTACTTATCACAGTACAGTTTCTCTTCTGATAACGACAAGGTTTCTTGTGTTTGGGCTAAAAATAATGCAAAAATTGGTTTAAACTTGTATTACTTTTCTGTTTTAATAACTACAGAAAGTTTTAAAAGTGAAGGAATGGTAAGAGAGTGAGCATGAATGGTGGGTGGAGATGGGTGGGGTGGGCTGGGCTGTTCAGGAGGTGATGTAAAGAAATGTTCATCAGGCCAGGGCCTTTGAAACCTGAAATCATATACTCAGCTTTATTTTACACTGTAGAGGAAAGCAAAAAAAAAATTGTTTAGTTTTCTAAAACTAAAAGATTAGAAGGGGGGAAGTATGGAGCAGATCTGTGGCATTTTGTGACAGAGATGGGGAAGAAGTTAGAGCTGATGCTGACAGATGTTCTTTGCATTCAGTTGTACTGCTGGTAGGCAGTATATTGATACCCTGCTGCTGCTGTACTGGTTCCAAATGTACGTGGTGCCTAAATATACCAAAGTGCTGAAATAAACTGTATTATTTTTAGTGGCAATACTGTTGTAATACAACCCTGGGTGGCAGTGATGGAAGGGAAAGAAGGAGGTGGGGGGCTTGAGGTCTTGCTGCCTTTGCTTCTTGCTGCTTCCCAAGCCTGGCTACTAGGCTCGTCTGGAGAAAGGGTCTGCGGGTCCTGGGCTACAGCGGGGTGAACAAGGGAGTTATTCTGCCGTGGTGACTGAAAATCAGAAATTGGAGGAAGAAGAGATGGTCACAGTCAAGTCCCTCTGTGAGCTGTACACTCAGCTGAGGAGTTTCCTAGAGAATTCCCAGCCCTACTCTCTCTACACAGTGTGGTTGGGATAAGGAAGCATTAATGAGGGGAGAAAGACCCTCCCACCCCTCAAGCCTTGCTAACTTCTTAAAGCTTCTGTCCATATTCTGTTTGATGATGTGATGGAATTTCTTGTGATGTCAGCGACAAAAAGGCATTAACTATTGCTGTGTCACAGATGCTCAGGGGTTTATGTTTCTTTAATTGCAGTTTGACGGCTTTTCCATTGAGCAGAGGTATAATTTACCTAGTTTAGCTGGATAAAAAAAATATATATTGCAACAAAGAACGGTTTTATTTGTTTGTCAAATTTTGAGATGGCTTCAAAGAGTTATCTTTTCCTGTGTATAATGGAAATTGGTGAATTTCTAAAAAGGAAATTGTTCCTAATGTTCTGGTGTTCTCATCATGTGCCTATATAGTAGTACTCTAAAACCAAAACAAAAATATAACCAAGTAATCCCTCTTAATTTCTGCATAATTAGGTGTATATGTACATTAATCATTATTTGGCCAGATGATTACAAATGTTTAGAAGTTTAAAAAGTCCCAAGAAATTAAGATAATTCTTTTTTGGCCTGTCCACCTACATATGACCAATGTCCTTTTAATTACAAATTGTTCTCACACTCACGTTCAACTTTTTTTGTGAATTTACAACGCAGGCATTATCGGAAGCGCTCTGCGTCACGTGGACGCTCTGGGAGCCGTTCTAGAAGTCGTTCTCCATCTGACAAAAGAGCAAAACGTGGAGAAGACAGACGCTCTAGAAGCAGGGATCGAGAACGTAGACGTGAGAGGTCACGCAGTAGGGACAAGAGACGGTCTCGATCGCGAGACAGAAAGCGTCAAAGGTATGGCTTATCAATTCCAGTCAAAGCACATAAAAATGCCTGGCCTCTGAATATTATTCTTCCACTATAATTAGTTACTTTGCTGTTGTTCATGATAGATTTTACTATGCTTAAAGTTTTTGCTTATTAAATGGTTTCTAGCCATTGGTGCTGGAGTTTGTAAGCTCTTAGCAGTCTTGATTGTTGGATTCTTTTTCCAACCTGTTCCTCAATAGCAAGCTAAAATTACACTGTGATCACATGCTAAATAAATACAATTTTGTGCTGTGGCAGACGTTCAAGAAGTAGAGAAAGGGAACGGAGCCGAGAGAGAAGAAGATCCCGGAGCCGAGAGAGGAGGCGCTCTAGAAGCAGAAGCAGAGGTAGACGGTCTCGATCCTCCAGTCCAAGCAAGAACAGGAAAACAGAAAACAGGTATTTGAGTTCTCTAATTACAATCGATATCATAGTGAGAAAGTGCTGTAAAACTACTGGTCGTGTGGAGGGTATCATCAGGCAAAGCTGTGGTTTGTAGAATGAGAATATTAAGTGAGTGTACTGTGGTGATCTTTTCCCATTGCTTAACATTCTAACACAGTTTGTTGGGAGAATGTAAAAGAAAAAGATCCAAGTTGTGGCCAGCTAAAAAAAGCAGTTTTAAAGTTAAGACTAAATTTCATTCTGAAAGTTTTGTAGTGCTTTGTTGCTATCTAGGTTCTGGTACCAATAAGTAATGTTTTGTGCCCCAGCATGTTTGCCCAAATTAATAGAGTACAGGTGCTCTCTAACACAGGCATTACAGTGAAGCAGAACTTTCTTTAAGCTTTAAAATTACTGGAGAATATTAAATTTTGGTTACCAGATTTGCTCCAGTGCTGTGTTCTCAGTGATATGCTGTATTATTCTCTTTCTCAGATAAAGCACTTTATTTCTGTGGAAACATACAGGGCTTTTAAAAAATTGCAGGTAGGGTAGCAGCAGGGGATCTCTAAATGGCATCATGGTGACATCTGTAACAGGATTTTCTAAACCGTTAGTAAGTGCCACTGGTTGTACCTGAGCTCAGTGTTTTATCCGTTATTTACACAAAAGGTGTTCTAAGGAATGTAAACCAATAAAGTTTGGAATCTGTTTTTTAAGTTGTGCATAAAAATAAAATATATAGTGTAGCACTTCAGAGAAGCTCCAGAAGTCTGCTTTGGTAAAGCCACCACCTGTTTATCTGCTGTTTGTTGAGTTCTGTGAGTGTGCTCAGTACTGCAATCAATATGGTTTTGACAAGTACTGGTTTTAGGGGTTTACAGTCAAATAAACTGTCTAGCAAATGGAATTAGTAAAGAGGTGAAGCTTGAACTCTTTTAGGTGTTGACTTTAGAAAAGTTAAACTTAACTACAGGTCATGTTGTTTTAAATATATTTTAATGCAATTTTCACATATAATTACAAACAGCATATCATGCTATCCTGTAAAATAAGTGGGAAGTCCATAAGTTGTAACAGCAGTCTGTATAAAGAGTAAGCATGTTGATGACAATCTAGAAATTGCGAGAAGCTGGAATCAAGAAGTTTTTTTGGAATAAGTGTATGGTTTGTATTAGAATAGCCCAATAAAAAAGGCTTAATGAGCTTTAATTGGCTAAAGTGAATTTTACATTTATTATCATGAGTTAGCACGTGTTTAGTTTGGATGCTTTTTTTTTTCCTTTTTTTTTTTAAATTTGAAGCAAGTAAGGGTAATAAAACCTGTGATAAATTGGTTTTGTATAAAATGCAAGTTACACTTGAGTCACATAAATAGCTTTTCCCAGGGAGAAGTGTTTTTATGTCTTTCAGCCAGTACTGTATGCTCAGGGGGACATTCAAACTTCTGTGGCAAGATGCTAGATCACTTTACCTTTCTCTAGAAATTCAACAAACAGGAAATTTTTAGTATCTCTTTTCTAACTGCTGTCTGCAAGGAGGTGTAAAATAAACTGCAGAACCACTAGAGTATCAGTTGTAAGTGTTCTGGAAATGAAGTCTGCGTTTTCCTCCTGTAAAGAAATGAGAAGAACAGAACCAAAGCATGTGCATCAGTGGATGGCAATAGATTGTACGTTTCTGGTAGTTAAAGGGAATATTTCCAAGATGTGGAAAGATGCTCTGGGAGGCAGTGTGCTTTGTAATGTATCTGAAAACATAAACCTGTACAGGGTGTTCGTGGTTCTGTTCTATCCAGCACGTGTATCCCCACCCTGAGAAAAGCTGTAATGTTTTAAGAAATTTTTGATTTTTACCATTCAGGTCAAGATCTAAAGAAAAGACAGACGGTGTGGAAGTTTCCAAAGAAAAGAAAAAAGACAAAGACGACAAAGAAGAAGAGAAGGATAAAGATGCTACCACAAATACCGTGGCCACTGAGGTAGAAGCTTTTAACACTTATGAATTTAAAAGATAAGAATTTAAACTAGGAATTAGGTTAGCCATAGATTTGGCATTAACAAAAGAAAAGCTGTTCTTAAAGCTGGACAAAATCCCCACTGACTGAGAGAGTATTCCCCTCAGTAACACAGACTCCTGTCACGGAGTATGCTTCCACTTCTTGGCAGAAGAAACGTTCTTCTCCCTTCAAGATTTCAAACTGCTTAGGCCATGAACCACAGACAGGCATGAAGGGTCTCTCATTTTTCATGTATTAGGTGTCAGTAGAGGAGCTGAACTTTTTTTTGGCTTTTAGACCCAGGCAGGAATGAAAGAACGAAGGGAGAGGGCAGCTCACTTTGCCTTGTTCCATGTTATAACAAGATGTGCCTAGATGAAAAATTCCCACACTAGCAGTTTTAGCTAACTTCTAAACCAGCATGTTGTTCCTAACCCTCCTTCGTTAACAGAGGCTGCACTGTCAGTGAGGGCTCCTCAGGCATAAACCAATCACAGGTTTTTGTACTAGGATGACTTTTGGAAGCAAGGGGTAACATGATAATTCTTTATTCTTTTATTGATTGGTGACTAAAATTAGTTGAAACTTGCTGGTGTGAATTACAGTATTTTCTCCTAGTAAATAAAGGAAAGTTTAAATTGCTGTTATCTTAAAAATTATTTGCTGGATACTATAATGAAAAATAAAATAACAACTGCGTTTCTTACTTGAAAATGTTACAGTTGATGGTAGTATTTTTCATTTGCTTCTGTTGTGATAAGTTTGTGGTTGTCCAGTCTTCAGTGGCATGCTCACACAACAGTTATATTTATTTGAAGAAGCATGGGTTACAGCTGTTTATTTTCACTGTTTGGCTGGTTTTTATCTTAGAATTTTGATCAGAACAAACTAGAAGAAGAAATGAGAAAACGAAAAGAAAGAGTGGAGAAATGGAGAGAAGAACAACGCAAGAAGGCTATGGAAAACATAGGAGAACTGAAAAAGGAAATTGAAGAGATGAAGCAGGGGAAAAAATGGAGTTTAGAAGATGATGATGGTATTTAACTTTTCATATATAAGTTAAAACACTTTTGTTCCTAGTAATATTTTTATTACACTATCTTCAAAGCATTTAATTACTTTTCAGAATGTGAACTATAAAATAACAAAGCCTAAATCTGGTCATGGCTTCAAATGGCTTAAGGTACAATTGAGATTAACAAACTGGAGAGATTTGTATGAAGAAAAATGATACAGTAATAAAACTGGTCTATAATTATTTGGGTAGACTAATAATTTAACACGCGCAAGCACTCCTCTCTTTCCTTGTTTTATTTCCATCTTTCTTGCTCATATTAGATGATGAAGAGGAAACTGCAGAAGGAGAAAAAGAAGGCAATGAGGTTGAAGATGAAGAGTTAGATCCTTTGGATGCTTATATGGAAGAAGTAAAAGAAGAGGTCAAGAAGTTCAATATGAGAAGCGTGAAAGGTGGAGGTGGGAGTGAAAAGGTAAAACCACTATTAAGATTTCCTATCTTGTTTTTTTTAAAAATAGCTTTGTGTTTTAATATCAAAATGGCTTTGAAAAAAATCGGGGGGGAATGCAAAAAAGTGAAAAGTAAGTTAGGTGCACTTAATGTCTCTTTGCCTTTAATTTCCTGCTGGTTTTATCAAGCTGTTTTATCAAGCATTGATCTGATAAAATTTCACTGAAGGAAGTGAAAAAACCCACAGCATAATGCATTCAGTAGTAGATTTTCTGTATGTTTTATACAGTATGGTTTTTGTTTTCTATGATAGTGCAACAATTTTTCTTAACTGTTTTTGTAGAAAACCGGACCAACTGTTACCAAAGTAGTAACTGTGGTGACAACCAAAAAGGCAGCTGCAGAGTCAGAAAAGAAGAAAGGGGAGCTCATGGAGAATGACCAAGATGCAATGGAGGTAATGGTCTTGTATTTCTACTGTGAAAAGGCAGTGTGCCTTTTAAGAGACATGAGAACAAGGGTAGTCCTCGGATTTTTCCATCTCCTAGGAGATAAACATTTAGTTATTTAATTTGCAGAACCATAGTCACAAGGTTTTTGATCTTATGCAGTTTCTTGTTACTTGTACTGGGTTTTTTGTCAGAAATCACCCTTGCAGCTTTCTTGCTCAGAGGCAGTGTTACACAGATGAGAACTGAATGAGTGCGTTGGGTTGTCTGGCTTTGTCCTTAATACGAGTGGGCTGATGTATGTCAGGTGTAGCGTGTGTTCACCTCACGTGTTCACGTTACAGAAATTTGGTGGGTAGTCCCAGTGCTCCTGTGTGTGAATGACCCATAAGCTAGTATAGAGTGTTTGTGTATGCAGCTTCTCAGTCTGCACACAGTCCCACCTACCTGATCTCAGAAAAGTGTGTTACATTTCTGCTGAATTTCTTTGTAAGTATAAATATGTTAATTTCCAAAACACCTGTAAGTTACGGATCTCAAAACACTTCATAAATCATAATGAGACATCTCTTTTAGCACAAAGGAGAGGTAGGTGTTCTCACTTTACAGTTTAGGAAACAGTAGAAAGGAGTTTGATTCTGCCTAGGGCCACAGAATGCTGTGCCAAGTCATGTGTTCTAATAGTCAGCACCCTAAACCAAATTTATAAGCGTTTTCTGTTACACTGACTGTAAATAACAAATGTGTTTTAGTAGGAAGAGGTGATGCAAGTAGATAAATGTCAGCTGCCCTCTCTAGATGTCGGTTCAATGAGTTGGTAGATCTCCCCCTAGTTTTCAGTGTGCAGTTTTTTGGATGTTGAGCAGTGGCAGATCACCATGAATATTGAATTTTAACAGAACAGCGCTCTGGGATCCTGGGAGCACCATCTTGCTCTCTGATTGGACCTGAACTTCTCAGAATTACCCTTCTGTGTCCAAAGTGCCTTCATAAAATGCTTCCAGGAGGAGTATTGACTGTGGTGGTGTAGGCTTGAATAGTTGTTGAGGGTACGGGTACGTTGGTGTCCGGTGGGTCCTGGAGAGGCAGCCTTGCCCAAGTCGTAGCCCAGGGCCCCTGCTAGCGCTGTAGCTCAGCTGGGTCACGCAGGTCTCTGTTCCTGCACTTCCAGTCTTGTTAGTGCTCGACTAGTTTAAAGCTGAGTTGGGTGCATCTGTCAGAACTGTGGCTGTGGTGGGACACACATCAGTGGTTTGCTGGCTGGACTTTTTTCCTTAGTATTTTCCTCTTGCTATTTCTGTTGTATGGCAGTGATTGGTTATTTCTGAATGACAAGGCTGGTATTCCTAAAATCATGGAAGTGATAGGGAACATGGTGAAAGTTAAGGTTTTGGAGAAACAAAAGGAACAGATGAAAGAACAATTGGGATTCTTTGATAGCGGGTTTTCAGTATCTGGCCTAATAGGGTAACTGTTGCTTCTGAGTAAAGTTTCTATAAGTGAAAAACCAGATCCTCTCGGAATACCATTTGTACCAATTTACACACAAATTGTCATCTATACAGTATTCCTCAGAAGAGGAGGAAGTTGATCTTCAGACTGCCCTGACTGGCTACCAGACCAAGCAGAGAAAGCTGCTAGAACCAGTGGATCATGGAAAGATCGAATATGAACCTTTCAGGAAAAACTTCTATGTTGAAGTACCAGAACTAGCTAAAATGACTCAAGAGGGTAAGAAACAATACAACCAGAACACCCTGGGTACTGTTAAAGAAAAGAATGATGGATTTGATGTGCAAAGAAACAGCAAATCCTTTATAAAGAGCATTTGGAGCAACTTCATACAGATCACTATTACTGATAACTTCGTATAATTATTTATGAGCCTGTGATTGAAAAAATTTCACGAGTCCTTTCCTCCACCCTCTTGTATTTATGTGTAACAAGCTAAAAGCTGATTTTCTGGTGGTGATAAAATTAGTATTTCATGTTCGTGGACAGATCAAGAATATTTTGATCAAGGTAGTAGAAAAATGTCAAGTTTGACTCTGTTGCAATGCAAACTCTATTTCAGAGGTGAATGTGTACAGGCTGGAGTTGGAGGGAATTACAGTCAAGGGAAAAGGCTGCCCCAAACCAATAAAAACCTGGGTACAGTGTGGTATTTCCATGAAGATTCTCACTGCCCTCAAGAAGTAAGAAAGCACTTTATGAATTATAGCATGCTTGATTTTACTCACTATGTTCTATCATAACTTTATGAGAGAAACTTTTTCTTGCATAATTTCGTTCTTCTGCCACTTGTATCATGGTTTTGCTGCTCATTTTTATGCTGTAGTTTTTGAATGGCATTAATATGTTTATGTAAATACAAATATGCGATTTTTTTTCAGCATGACTCTGTGATTCACATCTGTCAAATGCTATTTTGTTCTTAAAATACTTTTTTTTTTTTCCTCCTCTCTTTAAGACATGGCTATGAAAAGCCCACTCCCATTCAAACCCAGGCGATCCCAGCAATTATGAATGGGCGTGACTTGATTGGCATTGCTAAAACAGGAAGTGGAAAAACTATTGCATTTCTCTTGCCCATGTTCAGACACATTATGGATCAGAGAGCATTAGAAGAAGGAGAAGGTCCTATAGGTACAAAGCTTTTTTTTTTTTTAATTGCTTTTGAAATAAATAAAAACTCAAGCATATGCTCTAAAGGGTCTCCAGTTCTTCTCTTGGTTATAGGGAGGAATTCTTACTACTATTAATTAGTGAGGGGCTTTTAGTTAATGAGCACCATGCTATTCAATGTTGTTTGTGATCAGTGTGCTATCTAATATTTCAAGAGCACTTGCATGTCTTTTATATCTGGGAGAATTTACTCCTTTGATTTTGAAATTTTGACCAGATTTCTACCCCATCCTCATACAGTCTTAATTCTTTTTCTTGAAATTACAGTTTATAAAAACATATACATCAATTGCTGTAAACATTATTATAAAATATTAATTTTTACTGTATAAATAACATCTCTTACGTTACAGTGTATGATGAAAATGCTTTGCTTTCCAGCTGTCATTATGACACCTACTCGCGAGTTGGCTTTGCAGATTACCAAGGAGTGTAAGAAGTTCTCAAAGACACTTGGGCTTCGAGTTGTCTGTGTTTACGGGGGAACAGGAATCAGTGAACAGGTAGGCAAAAGACATACCTTACCTGTCAAATAACTCCTGAACTTCATTAGTTAATGAATGGTAGTAATGCAGAAGCCTAAGTGTTTGCACATAACTTAGCCTTAACCATACTGATCTTGAAAATTCTCAAGTATGGTCCTTAAAAGTTTCTTTTTATGTATGTATTGAGCATGGTAGTAATTAAACTACTAGTGGGATATGATAGTTTGAAAGTTACTGAGAAACTGTATTTGTATGAGAGTTCCCTCAAGATAACAAAAGCCAGAAAATGTTAACTTTGGTTTATTGCATTAGCAAATACTGCATGTCAAGAGTAATTTAGAGATTAATTTCAAGGGTTTTTTTTTCCCCCCATCCCTTTTTATGGAAACAACAGAAGTGACCATCTGTGATGGAACATGGTTTATTTAGTATCACTTGTCTCTGCTATAATGTGTGACATTTCTTATATGCTCTTAACTGCATAGAAGTCATGTTCCTGTTATAACTACTTCAAGTGGTAGTAACAGGTTGTCAGAGGTTACTCTTTGGTAAGCAAAGTTTTCCAAAGGCTTAAAGAAATTAAAAAGTAGTATCTTTGCATAAACAATGCACGTGAGTAGAACAGCTGTATTATAGTGTATGTTGGTTTATTTTTTGCAAGGTGATGCATGTTTTAAAGAAAAACAACACAGAAAGCAAAACCACACTCTTAATAGTTTGTTTACTATGTTTTAAAATCAGATAGCTGAACTCAAAAGAGGTGCTGAAATTATTGTTTGCACACCTGGACGTATGATTGACATGTTAGCAGCTAACAATGGTGAGTAGAAAACCTTTTCCTATGGAGAATTTTTTATATTTGTTGTGTAATTCTAACAAATTCAAAAGATCATGTATTTTGATAAATGGTCTTATGGAATTTTCTTATATCTCTTCAGGCTGCACTATCTAGCTATATATAGCACTAATAATAGGTTTAATCATATATTGGTTTGACTTTTTGGGGAGGACAGGAAATACTACATTCTTGAAGAGTTTCTGAGAATGTTTATCATTGTTAAAATGTGCTGGTCCAAATTTTTTTAATTCAAGCCGTTTAGATAAAGGTTATGTAACAGTTGCTTATTTTGTCTGCCCATTGAGCCTTTATTATTATTGGTAGTGTAGCTCAGCAGTTACCTTCTTTTACACAAGAGCGTCTGACTCTGCCTTTATCTGTTGGTTTTAAAAACAGACAGACAAAGAAGCCCTCCCTAAATAACCATTCAAAAGTAAAAGAACTGACCTTACATCAAATATTCAGATTGATTAAACTGAGCCACTGCAGCTTTAAGAGGTTTTGTCCTAGTGTAACCATTGCATGCTTGTTAGATAAAGTTTTATTATTAAATTATTCCACATCAAAACCTCTACTAAACTGTTGACATTATTTAACTTCTGTGGAAAAAGTACCTTCAAGACATATAGAACTGGGCTTCCAAGACTTAAATCGTCAAAGGTAGGTACATTAATGCTGTTCCCAAGTAATTTTACAAAGTTATTATTTGGGGATGAAAGTGTTAAGATGTTAAATAGATACGTAGATTTTTAAGAAGTATTTATTTTGTTCCTTAAGTATGAATTCCGTATCTTAAAAAAAATGCAGCGCTAAATCTCTAAAGGATTCAGCTACAATTTGCTGAGGCTGAAAGGACCAAATTCTACTGTAGTTTGATAGGCACAAGTCTGAGTGATAGTTGTAGAAAATGTGAAAGTCTGTTCCATTCTGAGAGCATTTGACAGTGTCGCTCCACAGTTGTTTGGAACTAAATGTGTTCCCATGTTTGTATCGTTTCAGAATATGATTCTTAAATCCTTGAGTTAAATCCCTCTCGTGAAAGGGAATCTCTTGGCTGTTTGTTTGGGAAGGGTGCTAATTATCCTGTCCATCATAATTTCAAAATGGTCACAGATGTACAACTTGCTTTGTTTCCAGCTGTCCCAGAGTTTGGGGTGGTTCTTAATTTTTAGTAGTTACTGGGTAGGTTTTAATCTTTATATATTCATTTTGAAAAGACTGCTTACTCTGTTTTATGCATATTATTAGCAGTTAACTAGAATTAGTATGATTATCCTCAAATAGCTATTTCGAGCTCCAAGGAAGCATTACAGGTTATATGTATAAAAGCATTTTTTCTGAGGCTGCAAGAGTTAGCACTGGACTTTGCCTTCCACACATGCGCTGTAATCTCTAATATGTTTTTTTCTAGGTGGCGCTGTCAGATAATGGCTGATGTGGCTCCTTGCTTCATCTCAGTCTTAGTTTTATGATGTGTTTTGGCGAGGGCAGTTTTCTGAATTTTACAGGTTCTTCTGGCCCTATGATGGTATGCAAGAGAAGAGTTTGACAAAATAAAGGGCCTTGTGCATACTTACGCATTTCCCAGAATGTATACGTGATTAAAATGAGAACATTAAAATTCACATTTAGTGAATTTTATTTAAAAAATTAATTAATGTCTTTGTTAGAAGATAGTGAGACTATATAACATTTTTAAAAAAAAAATTATTCCTGAGGGAAACTAGATTTCCATTTGATTTTGTTTCCCATGTGTTTTTTCCTCTCCTTTCGCAGGTCGGGTGACAAATCTCCGTAGAGTCACATATGTTGTACTTGATGAAGCAGACAGAATGTTTGACATGGGGTTTGAGCCTCAGGTAATTAAGGACATGACTGACACTGCCACAAGATGTTATTCCTCACTTAAAGGATTTTGCAGTGCTACGTTATTATTACACTGCCAATGAGTGTTCAAAGAGATGTGCTACATATGGACAACAGTTTAAACTGATTTTTCTGTTTTCCTCGGGTGCTTTGTTTTCAATAAATTATGTAGCTTAATTTTTTTTTTCTAACATACTATTTTATTTTTACACACTTGTTCTGGATACTTGTGGTTATGTTGTAGCCCTATGTAATCCCTTGGTGCAGATGTCATTTTAGTAGTTGTAGCTTGTTTATAAAGCCTTTGATGATTCCTGTGCAGGAGATAGGGACAAAATGTTGGATATGTTGGTGACAAATTACTTGCTGGCAGCTTTGGACATCCAGGAATCTTTCAGATGTCAGCAGGCTATATTGTCCTCCAAAACGAAGGAAATTCCTTTATTTTTGTCTCTTGAGCTGTAGAGTTTCTGCTGCATGTCTTAAGATTTCTGCTGGCCTGTTGTCAGATTGCATATTGCCACTCAACTTCCTTTCGAATCCAGGAAGTTTTGCCTGTCTTTCCAATGCCAGCACCTAGGTCCCAAGAGGATATCTGTAAAGAACTGTTTTCTAGTCTGTGTAGTGCAGATACCACCTAATTTTGAAGATGACAGTTCTGTATGTGTATGAAGTTCCATTAAAGCGCTTGGGTATTAACAGGGAATGTTCTCTTCAACCAGGTTATGCGCATTGTAGACAACGTCAGGCCTGACCGTCAGACTGTCATGTTCTCTGCTACTTTCCCCAGAGCTATGGAGGCGTTAGCTCGCAGAATCCTAAGTAAACCTATAGAAGTGCAGGTCGGAGGCAGAAGTGTTGTCTGCTCTGATGTGGAGCAACATGTTGTGAGTATCACACATCTGCCTCGCTTATCTTCTCTTTTGCTTGCAAAAGATTATTTCCAGCAATGTTGAATATAAACCAATATACCCACAGAGCTTTTATTTTTAGAAGTTCAGTGACCTTATTAAACATGACCTCAGAATAAACTTAACACTCTAATCTGTGAATGCAATGGGATCACTTATTTTTCAAAAATTTGGTTTTATACCACTAAGCTGAACAGCAGTTTTGCCATTAGCTGTGGAAACAGCCTGAAAAAGTCATCTCCTGTTCCAGATTTTTATTTTTATGCACCCTGAATGTGTTTGATGACTTCGATACAAGTTGTACTCTTTCTACTTTGCTCTTGTATGTCTTTTTCCAGATTGTTATAGAAGAGGAGAACAAGTTTTTGAAGTTACTGGAGCTACTGGGACACTATCAGGAGAAAGGATCAGTTATCATATTTGTAGATAAACAAGAACATGCAGACGGGTTGCTGAAAGATTTAATGAGAGCCTCTTACCCTTGCTTGTCTCTCCATGGAGGTAATCTGCAACATTAAGGATTTATTTTAACAAGTCCAAACTAGAATATTGGTATTCAGTAGTTAAAAAGAGAAGTTATTTAGTGCCTGGATAATACCAATTATTATTTCTTCCTAAGCAGGTTTTGTTTTATAATTGGGAAAGATATTTGTCTGTTAATTTGAAATAGACGTGGTAGTTTTCCATAGTTACTCTTTATTGCTTCCTGTGAGATGTCATCAGATGCCAAATCTTGTCTCTGGGCAACAGGACTGTTACTGAGAGTTAACATCTCTCAGGGAATATTACTAACTACTTGCTATTGTAGAGCAGTGAATGCCATTGGGGGAGTATTACATGATATTTTTATCTGAGATTCCACAATAATAGCAGCTGTTGTTTCACTTTTCTGCCATCAAGTAGTAATATAACGGAAGTAGCCTAGTAAGAGGAGGAAATCTTTTTAGAACATTGTCCATCCCAGAGCATTTTAAAACTTGCTGTATATATTGCTCTTAAAAATACAGTAACCAATAAGTACAAAACCACTGTTCATTTAGTACAACAGTGGAAGAGGGAAAATATTCTTTTTCTGAGATTTCTGTTGCCTTTAGAGAACAAAGCCTCCAGCTGAGGTCTCAACTGCATCTAAAAAGTCAAATAGAGAATCATATTAGAGAGACTTTTGAGGATCGTGGTATGGGAAAACATGTTTTTGTAGTGGAAAAACTAAAAGTTTTCTTATTCTGGAAAATGGACTGAGGTGTATTATTCTGGCTAATGTATTTTGCCTGTAAAAGTGTGAATGTACTGAAATTTTATTTGCTTAGGTTTTCGGTTGTTTGAAGTTGGAGGGTGTTTTGACCTGTGTACAAATTCGTTCGGCTCAAAGCAGAGCTTTAGAATTGACTGTTTCATTTGGTTTCTTGTAGGTATTGATCAGTATGACAGGGACAGCATAATTAATGATTTCAAGAATGGAATTTGCAAACTTCTGGTGGCCACATCTGTAGCAGCAAGGGGCCTGGATGTAAAACAATTGATGTTGGTGGTCAATTACAGCTGTCCCAACCATTATGAAGATTATGTGCACCGAGCAGGGCGAACTGGGCGAGCTGGCAATAAAGTATGTATAATCAGTTGCCTGTTTTGGTTATTACTGAAAATTTTTCCTTATTTACCACTGATCAAGGTGTTCCTAAGGGATATTGGTGGGAAGAGGGTTTTCCTTTAGGGTGCATCTAAGTTTTTTGAGTGATCATGTGTAAAATAATTCTGAATTTTAGGACTATGAAAGTTGGAATTTACATGTTGTACTGATTTATGAATGTTCTTTTAAATCCCATTTGTGGCTGAAAGTTTGGGTGTTTTTCACTTTTGGAAATGTGCCCTACTAAATTTATAAGATTTTATTTTCTAAACTTTTAACCACGACAAGATTGAATGGTTAGTTTCTACCCTCTCTGGTTGATCACCTCTGTATCAGCTTCTGGGGAAATCACATTATTCAGTCAACATTCCCGCTAAAAAACGTTTATGGATGAATGTCATGGTTACTTTTATTGACCAGAACAAGAGCATCTGTGCAGGGTGCTTCAATAAATTTAGAGATAAAGTGTCTTTAGAAATTTTTCTTTATAATCTTTTAAATTAATTTTGACCAGGGGTATGCGTATACATTCATTACTGAGGATCAGGCACGGTATGCTGGTGATATCATTAAGGCTTTGGAATTGTCTGGGAATCCAATTCCTACTGATTTGGAGAAGCTCTGGGCTGACTTCAAAGACCAACAGAAAGCTGTAAGTAATTCTTTCATCTGGAGTGGGCTTTGGTCTGGGTTTAATGCATTTCCATGTGGGTCCAGTTGTGCAGTACACTGAGTGAGTCATCTTAGTGACTTCACTGAGAACACACAGGTATGCTTAGGTGAGTGTGTGAGTGTTTTCAAGATTGGGATCTTGAATGTCCTTTACAGGGCTGTTCTTGAGAATTAAAATGTTGTCATCTGGTATGGGATAAAGAAACGCCTCCTATGTAAGGGGTGCTTTGGCTTTTATCAAAATTCACATAAATAAGTCCTTTCACATAATTTGTATTATTATTTCTAGAGCTCTCGCCATCAGAGGATCTTGCTCATGCTGAGAAGAGTGACTTGGGAGTTTTTCCAATATAAAAATGAGGATTTTTTTTTTACTGCATTTGAAAAGCATTTTAAAAGTGTATTTACAGAAAATCCCAATAGTATATTCTTTCGGTCTGCTGAATTATTTATTACACTTCATTGTAAAAATACAGTTTTTAAATTTGAAGAACTTTCTAAATGTGCTAGGATTTGATTTTTAAAATAAATAAGTTCAAAATGGTTTGTGTAATTTTGTAGTTATAACTATTGGGATTTTAAATTTCTAAGTATGAGAATACATGTTTTTGTTTTCAGGAGGGAAAGTTGATTAAAAAAAGCAGTGGATTCTCTGGAAAAGGTTTTAAGTTTGATGAAACAGAACAGGCTTTGGCTAATGAAAGAAAGAAGCTACAAAAAGCAGCTCTTGGCTTGCAAGATTCAGATGATGAAGATACAGCTGTTGATGTAAGCATCTGAAAATAAGATTAATAAGCTTAAGGATTTTCAATATATTTGGTTTTTCCCCAGTAGGTTACATAACATGTTGCAGAATGTGTGGATTTTTGTTACTCTGTCCTGCGCTACTGACTTAGTGTTCCATGAGTAGATCTGTGTGCATTCTTTAATATAAAAGATACATAGCTATGAAGATCGAGATCTTAAAGATCTTGAAAGTCACTTTCAGTCTTACTGATATTTTATACTTAATATATGTAGTTATATAAATGTCACAGAAGTTCTTTTCTTTGTAATATTAATCTTGCACAAATGAGCTAGGACAATTGCCCTCAATTACACTTTTTTACTCGCAGTGTTTTTTTATTAATTCATAGTAGCGTCTTCTATTTCTAAATCCTTTTTAGATTCCTTGCTTAATGTTTGTTAGACGCATTTTCATGACCTTGAAAGTAAACACTATGTTCAAACCTTTCCCTGATTATTAGATCATCCGTTCCTTTTGTCGAGTCGTAGTTCTGGGCAAGCTTCTACCATTTATATGAGATTTATTTCTTTAAAAGCCTGTAAACTAAATGCACCTTAGTGTTTTCTTTCTTGATGATGAGATTATCTAATGGTAAATGCAGTGATGTAATAATTCTTATTTTCTTTAGATCGATGAACAAATTGAAAGCATGTTCAATTCCAAGAAAAGAGTAAAAGACATGGCAGCACCAGGAACATCAAATGCTCCTACACCATCAGCTGGGAATGCAGAAAAATTGGAAATTGCTAAAAGACTGGCTTTGAGAATCAATGCCCAGAAGAATCTTGGTGCAGAGGCACAAGTATTGGTCCCCTTCCATTTTAAGGTCACTTACATTTCTCTTTACATAGCAATATTTTCTTTCTCCTTTTTTTTTTTTTTTTTAGATAAAGGTTGTTCAATTCCATGTTCTATGGCTGCCATTTTGTTTCTACACAATGATAACATACTGCATTATTTAGCTCATTTGTGCTGGGCTAGCTCAGTTATAAGTTACAGGATTTATAATTGAGCTAATATGACAGTAAGATATAATGCGCAACTGAAAATGCTTTGTCTGCCCTGGCAAAGAGTTATTCATTACTGATAAAATTACACAATTAGGTTTTGTCAGCTTTAGCAGAGTTGCAGGAACATCTTTCTCTGCTGAAGCATGTGATATACAATCTGTTTAGATTTAGGTTAATGGCGTCTGGAATGTTCAAAGGTATTTTGAACTGAAGATACAAAACACCAGTAAGATCTTTTCTATGCAGTTGTGAGGGGAATTACTGGGAGGAAGGAAAGAAGAGAGAGTTTGGAGAATGTATTTGTTATGTGGACAATTACACTGCATAGAACCCTTGTTGGTTTATATAGGACTTCTTTTGGCTACCTTGTTCTTAGCATGGACCTAATTTTTTACAGGATGTGATGCAGCAGGCTACAAATGCTATCCTGAGAGGAGGCACAATTCAAGCTCCTACTGTATCTGCCAAGACCATTGCAGAGCAACTGGCTGAAAAAATCAATGCTAAGCTCAATTATGTACCCATAGAAAAGCAGGAGGAAGAGAAACAGGATGGAGGACAAAATGAATCCTTTAAGAGATATGAAGAAGAATTAGAGATCAATGACTTCCCACAGGCAAGTAACCATTCTGCTCTAATCAAGTGTAAATGACCAGTATTTAACAGTGGCTGTCTTCATAGCTCAGACTATGATTATACTAATAAAATCTTTTGTCTCTTTCTTATCATACCTAATTGAAATTACTACATTATCTGTGATTACTTCTCATCTTATAGATACACAATGCTTTGGACATATTCCAGAGAATACTGGAAAAACAAGCATTCCTTATCATACAGAAGGCTTTTTGCCCTTTGCTACTGACTTCTCTCATATCCAGATCTTTGACACTGGCATTTTATTTCAAAGGCTGTACTACTGTGACTGATACTGTTCTTTGCTTTTTTTATTACCTGAGTATTTTTGCCATTCAGAATATTGCTGCTCTAGTCTACCTCATCTGTTATTTTGAAGATTGGTATTCCACAGTATCAAGCACAAATTCCTTCTATTTACCTTTTGAGGTTCTGCCCAAATTTGACTTATCAAGTTGTCTTGTTAGTAGCTTGTTACCCTTCCCTCTCAGAAATCCTCTTAATTCTTACCCTGAGCAGTTTCTCATTCATAGAACATTTTCTAGATTTTTAAGGATCCTTCTAACTCTTTTAAGGGTATGTTTGTTAGGTACAAAGCATTGTTTGCTCATAATGGGTAGACAAGTAACTGTTCTGTTGTCTGCAAATAAATTGTAAAGATAGATTTTTTTATTTTTTTTTTTAATAGAGCTGCACTAGAAAAAATAGCTTTCTTCTGATTCTCTTTTTGTTCTTCAGTATTTTGTAATAACTTGTCTGAAACACTGATGTATATATGTCAGTTCATCAGTGAGAACCATCACTGCTCCTTATGTCCCTGGAAAATCTCTGTAAGGAAGAGGGACTCACCTCGTGCTGTATGTACATGTATAATAATGGTCACAGTGCAGATCTGAGATGATGGAAATAAAGTAAGATAAAACAATTGCCTAAAGCAATAACCACAGCTGACAGTGGAAGCTGGTTTTTATAGGAGTACTACACAACCATTCACCACCATCATGTGTAAGATAGCACAGGGCAGTCTTCCTGATTATGTGTGCGGTATTTTCTGAGTCTTCTGAGAGACTTATTAATGCTGATAAGGTGCCTCTTCTAGAGAGAATATAAAACAGGCAGAGTTTTGATTCAGGGCCATACAGCTTGCCTTTAGAGGCTGTCTTCCAAAGTTGGCTTCTGGAAAAGCAGTGGTTTACAGCAGGACACACGGTATGTTTGCTCAACCTCCCAGAACTGAAAAACCAAAGAGGGTCTGGAGGGGATTGTTCTTCCTGTCAGAAATAGCTTTGCCTTCACGCCAAGGCAGTGTGAGCTTCCCCAGTCGTGTCCTAAGTCCTCTAACTTTGAGCTCACCATGATAAAAAAATTGTCTCAAACTATAAGTAGCTTCCAACAATCTACTAGACACTTTCGAGTACTTTCATTGTCTGGATTAATGGGATTCATTTATCATAGTGAAGTATTTTTGAGGATATTGTAAAGATTTGGGACAATTTTTGCAGGGTTCTAAAAAACAGCTGGCAGTGTTTATTCCTTAGGCTTTATTTATGGCAATTTTAAGGTTTACTTATTTTTATCTTTAACCAATGAACTGTGTAGAAATAAATTTATTTTGTTAAAGGGGAGTACTTGCAGCCATTAACAGTATATGTTTGCCCTTGAAATCTATTCCTGTACAGAAGTGCTAAACAAAATACTTGAGTGCTGCTTCAGAAAACTGCAAGAAAAAATCACGTTTTCAACTTTCAGTGTAGCAAAACGGAAGGTCTTTAGAGATCTTGCTTCAGTAGTACTATGCATCCATTTTCTTTTCTCCTTTCATAACTATCTTGCTGACAGAAGAGACAGATTTTTTTTTTAAAAAAGACTTGCATAAAAACAACTGGCTAAAATTTCAGTCTGCATTTTTAAAGTAGAATGCCCTGAGCGATTTTCACAGTGCAGTGTTCTTGTTGTTTGTCTAAAATGTCATCTAAGCTTTGAATTGCCATTTTGTGTGATGCCTTTCTCCTTGTTGATCCTCACATCTCCTTTACCTTGCAGACTGCCAGATGGAAAGTTACCTCCAAAGAAGCACTACAGAGAATCAGTGAATATTCTGAAGCTGCTATTACAATCAGAGGAACTTACTTCCCTCCAGGCAAAGAACCCAAGGAAGGAGAACGAAAGATTTATTTGGCTATAGAAAGTGAGTATTCTTTTTATAAATGTTTCAATTAAATCTACAAGACTAGTTTTGCAATTAGACATGGAATCTCTGTGGTCATAGTGTTTAGATGCTCAGTTACAGTCCCACTGTAGTTACTTTATAATTACTAAAGAAGCACTTGTTTATCTTAATAGACTTTGAGTGATCCACAGGGATCAGAGATGCTTCTCCTCAGAAGACTGACCTGCCACAGAACAACAGCAAACATGTATGGAATCAGTTTCGAGGAGGGGGAAAGAAAAGATTAAAAAATCAGAATAAGCACAAAGATGTCTGTGCCAGTGTGAAATAAGAAAGAACATTGAATTGTGCAGGTTTGAGCTGTTCAAGGTCTAAGAAATCACATTGACTACTACAAGAAAAACTTAGCAAATTTCATGATGGTTGAATAGAGTTTTTCTCAAAGAAACCTCTAATCTGGGTGTTTCTGAATAGTCTGATTTATGACTGTCTCTTTTAAATATCTTCTTTAAAACCACACGGGCTGGCTGTGGCAGTCTATACAATAATAGAGTGTTCTTCAGTAAATAGTTGAGGATATGGAGCGAGTTTTAAGTGTTTCTGAAAACAGCCAGCAGTGTTTATTTTGTAAGCTACCCATACAGCAAATGTTTGAGATAGTAATATTTTTTTTTTTTGTCCTCAGGTGCCAATGAACTGGCTGTACAGAAAGCAAAGGCAGAAATCACACGACTTATAAAAGAGGAGCTCATCAGATTGGTGAGTGAAATATCCAGAATGCAGAGGGAAAGTGCCTTAATTTATGCTTTATGAGATTGATTTCTACAAATGTTGACACTCTGGCATATGTTTTTATTAGTATCAGGGACTGGGACTTAAGAGATCTCAAAAGCAGTTTAATTGAACAGCCTAGGAAATGCGTGACTGTTCATCAGGCAGACAGACGGCTGTTATCCAGCCAGCAGATGGAGATAACACATTAACAGAGCTTTTTGAATGAAGACCCCTTAAAGAGTTAGATCCCTATTAGTTTCCTGATTTCAGCACCATCATGCAGGGGAGAGGAGAATTATCCCCCTCATTTTAATACTTTGTATGTCTTGAGAGATTCGTTTTGCCGCAGCTTTACAGCATACCCAGCTACTAATCAGCTGTTTTCAAGTAAGATATTGTCTTGAAAAATCGTATTTTGGGTTCTCTGGTTGAAGAAACTTTGACTTTCTCTAGAATAACCTTCAGTGATACTACATTAGACTTGACAGTGCCTTGGCTTTTTCTCTTAAGTAGCCTTCCAAATCAGCTGTCAGTTCCAGTGGTCCTGCTGAGCCATTATTGAGTTTTGTTTCTTTTGCAAAATTCTTGACCTCCCCATAAAAATGTTTTCCGAAGGAAGGAGATTGCTAAGGACCTGCTTATTTACATGTAATGTGGTTTTATTGTTAGTGGAGTTTTATTGCAATTCATTTATCCATTTTCACTTTTAACCGTGATTATGCTTTCCTTTATTTGCAGCAAAATTCTTACCAACCAACCAACAAAGGAAGATACAAAGTTCTATGAATATTTGGAATTATCTGTCTGCCAGTGGCTGGTGCGTGAAACTTTGTGGCTTCTGTTGTTTTTGCTGTTTACACTGCTTATTGTAAATTAAGAAATTTTTTATTTTGTCTTGCGGACATTTTTTAACAGAAAATTGATACTTGCTGAAACATCTTAATTTTCTCCACTAAAGTTATCAGTCTTAAAGCAGACCAGTTTTGGCGGAGCATGATTTAATTTAAAGTGCAGTTTATATACTTTTCATCATAAAGAATATAAAATAAAACAGATTTTAATTTTTCTGACAGACTATACTGTTAAGTAAATGAAACAATGTTGGGATTTGTGTTGAAATTGTTAGAATGTACCTGCTTCATCTTGTGGGGATGATTCATGCCATATCAGTTTATACTGGAAAAATGATAAAACACCAGAATAAAGGCAGGATTTTCTCCTGATCCATAGCATCTCTCTGGCTGGTTCCACACACATTCATTCCCTGTACAAATGTCCCCCTAAGGTCAGAGAGTCTTGCAGTGATCAGAGTAGAGAATTTTATCCAGAAATACTTGAGGTCTAGTTTTAAGATCTTACCTTTTCACATCCCATTTTGTCTTTATCATCCAGGTAATAGAATAACTCTTTGGGGTTTTTGTAAAGTGAAATGTTTTGTAGTATGAAAATAGTTTTCCTGTTTTTTTTCTAAACATTAGAATTTTAGGATTTGATTTTTTTTTCCTCATTCTCTGACATAAGAATGAAAGCCTGTTTAGTTTAAAAAGAAATTCTCAGAAAAAAAGGAGAAACCTCTTTTGTAAAGAAATACAACTTTGTCACTTTTTTATAGTGTTCTTATATATACATTTAACGTGATTTTTTTTTTTCCCCCAGGATTGTCGTCTTTATTATTGTTAGACATGGCTTTAAGTAAAAATGAATAATGATATTTATGAGTGAGTTCCACAAGTATTGACTATCGTTGCAGTCAATAAGCTACTGGGACAGGCAAGACCTTTCTTTTTGAGGTCTCATCCCCATAACATTAATATTCATGGTGGACACTTACTACTCTTAAGCATTTAACTTTCCTGTCTACTTATCTGGAGCCGAAGCGGTAGCAATTTGAATTGTGTCATTCTAGTAGCTGCAGGACTTTCGAGATGATGACTTTCAAAAGGACTTTTGTAGAAAGCTTTTCTTACCCGACACATTGAGAAGAAATGTGTCATTTTAAACCAGCTGTGTATGTACTGCTTTAACCCTGGTGAAGACAAATTGTACAATCTGCATCATGGCTGTATAAATTCACAACTTCTATTTCCCAGCTTCAGGTAATTTAAATGACTGTTTCTGTGTTGCATACAACTCTCTGTTACTCTAACGTCAGTGTACCTTATTTGCAATACAGGAAAGGAAAGGAGTGATTATCCCAACTGAACCGTATACGTTCAGGATAAGAATAGCCAATACTTGCCAATATTAATACACCGAGTAGAACAAAAATAAGAAGCACACACAATAACCCTTCTCAAAAATTAACCCCACAAATCTCACACTAAACATTCCCTTTAAATACATCAGGTTTCCTTCCGTTAAGAACTGGGTTTTGATATGTTTTATACAACTTGTTTGTTGAATTGTCTAACTTTTTGACAGTGTCCCCCCCTGAAGAGAGACAGATTTTGGTGTATTTAATGAAGAGCACTTTCAAGTTGGACAGCCTGACACTTCTTTAAAAATCCTGTTTCAAAATGTTCATATATATATTGGTATCTCCTAAAAAAGGCATGATGGAGACATTTCTGTGATTTCCAGCTTTGCACTGTTGGATTTCAGAGATGCAACAATGTATAATCTTTACCTTCCTGGGGTTTTTAAATGCAATGTCAATATTCCTATGTTTTTTTAAATTCCAGCAAAAATAAAAATAATTTCAATGTATATTTTTCAGAAACTCTCTTTCTGAATAGCTCATCTGTTTTCTGCACTTATATTGCTTCTGTGTGTTTTTCCTCTAACAGTAACCCATACTTTCTGGAGTAGGGCCATGTGTACAGTAACTTGTTTTTCTGCTTGAAATGCAATGAGATGCAGCTCAGATTCAGTTAATAAAGTTGCAGTGAAGGTTTTTGGATACATGAAGACGGGAGCAAAATGCATATAAGCCAGAGGAGAAGAAACTCTCAAATTAATAAATACACAAGGAAAAAATAGTGGAAACAAGATGAGAATAAAAGTTTGGAGAAAACACAATTAAGTACTGAAAAATGTTATATTTAGTTCTTTCCAAGTGTGTCCATGGATATAGACAAGATCTTTGTAAACATGACGGTCTGGCTGTTTTCCAGGGAATCTGCCCTGGACAGACTTCTGTCACCAGTTGTTGGAAGAGCACAGGGATGATGTATTTCCTTTTTGGTTTTTTTTGGTTGTTGTTTTTTTGGGGGTTTTTTTTGCCACACATAAGCAGAGCACTACTAGCACTACACACTACTAGCTTTGTAGGTTGCCTTATGCTGTCAGTGCTTGAGTAAACTGATATTTTAGGTGGATAAGTGCTACAAATATTTGATACTGGATGATAAATGAGGTTTTGCTTGCATGTTTGCAGTAATGCAGTGTTGACATAGGGTGGTGAGGGGTGGTACTCTGGGGGGGTTGCTGGTGTCCTGTTCCCTGAGACAGCACTTGGAGGTGGCAGTGAAGTAGCAAAGAACTGCTGTGTAGGTGAAGGCCTGTGAAGCTGGAAGAAATGGTGAACCCTGAGACTGGCTGGAGGTGGGGAAGGGGAGCCCTGTGCCACCGTTTTCCATGGTGACCACCACAGCCTGAGGTCCTGGCCCAGCAGCTCCACATCAGTTAGCAGTTAGGGGAAGGAGAGAGCAGGACTCTGGGTCACAGCCCTGCTGGCTCCCTCATTCTCTGTGCAAGCAGCCCAACAAAGATTCAAACAGCAATATTCCTCACCGCATTGTGAAGGGTCAATAAACACATCCCCTCTATCACTGTGGTGGCCATTAGTGTGCAAGAGTTGATGCAGCACATCAAGCTACTCTGCATGCACATGAACGGGCAAATGGGCAGAGGTTTTTCTCTGTGCCCTAGCCAGGAAAACAGGAGAGGAAGGCTAAATCCAATGTTCTGGGTGGGGAAAAAAAACCATTCACGACAAGATGAAAACTGTGCAATCACAGTTCAGAATTTTATACTACCCTAACTGTATTGCACGTGGTTGCCACCCTTTGTTTGGTTAAATGGGCAGCTTAAGGCCTGTTTTATAAGTTAGTCTTTATGCTGTAAAAGTTGTAACCAAAATGTAATGACTGTAGATGACAGGCTGGCATGTTCCATAGCTGTTCCCTGTCCTGGCTGCTTGAGATTTTACTTGTACAGTTAAAGCAGGGCAGTCTATGTAATGTGCATTTGGCTGCTAATTGAATAAACGATTCTGGGGCTGAAAGTGCGTCTGTAGGAGCTTTTCTCACTCGAGTCTTACAACTGGAAGGAAAAAAAAAAATAAGCAAAGCTTCACTAAAACTCTGCAAATGTAATAGCTGAATTTGAAACAAACACCACAGGCTGAATTTTGGAATCTTCCTAAAATAAGAAAAAACGCTGAAGTCTCAAGGAGAGAGAGCACACTTAGGTACTTCAGTCCTTCAGACGTGTTTACATTCATAAAAAACGGCAGTTAATTCAGCAAAACTAGTGACTGGGTTAGAGACAGGTACGTGGATCTGAGAAATGGAGCCTGTGATCCCCAGAATTAGCTTTTAATTTTCTGCTGTGGACACATACTATCGATGGTGAGTTGTTCTCTATTAAGAGAGCTTTTTCTAAATTTGCCAAAATGCCCTTAAATAGGCCGGTGAGGTGGTTCTCAGTGTGAACTTTGGAGTAAAACCAGCCCTTGCCACAAGCCTACTCGCAGTGAGTTACTCGTGGAGGTTGAGCGCGGTCCCTTCGCTTTACCCAAGCGTGAGCGCCGGGCCCTGTGTGCGCGTTCTGGCCTTCTCACGTGACACTCGAGGAATGCACTTTCCTCTGATTATTTTTCTTGACCCAGATCTCTTCCAAATATGGTCTCAGCTTAAACAAGTTTGTGTTCTTAGAGCTTGGGCGTTTGCAGAAGAAATTTGGCTTCCAGCTCACTGTGACTGTATGGGGGGAGTGGAGGCGGAGAAGAACCTAAAAATGTAAAGATAAAAGGCACACAGCTGGACTCCAGTTTGTCCCAAAATGTACATTTTGTAAAGTGTTTATACAACGCTAGGCAGGAAGATTTGTTTTCATAATTTTAGCTACAGTGGAAACAATTGTTTTTAAATAAATGACCATTAGTCTGAGTGATTGCCACCCAAACATTGCTTCTCCGAGACTCCTCATCTGAAACAGATTTAAATATTTTCCTTTAGTCAAACTGAGAAATCCAAAATTGTCAAGCTGACCAGCATAAGTAGAAGTAAATTAATTAGTATCTCAGAACTAAGGAGTTCTAGTGAGCTAAGAAATTATTAATAACCTACTGTGGAGTATGCATATGATTAAGTTATTTTCTACTTTGGCCGTTCTAAGTATGAAGTTTGTCATCACAAACGTGTTTCTTAGAACAATAAATTCCACTGGGCAACTGTTCGGAAACTAACTGCTGAGCAAGGAAAACGTTACACTTAATGAAAATCCTTAATCTTAACTAAATCCTACGTTTCCTCTGCCTGTGCATCTTAGCAAGTAAGTGAATTTGTGGAAATGGTCAGCTCCAGTTATTCATAGTTAAATAGAAGCTGTGGTACTGAATTCTCCCAGCTTGCTCAGCATGCTGCGTAGCAAGAAGCTCCTGCATTGGCAGGAGTAACTTGTGCTTTCAGACCATTCCTCTCCTTGAAAATTTGGATCCACCAGTGAGGTCTCCAGTAAAGGAGGAGGAGAATGAGACACTGAGGTCTGGATGTAGGAAGAGGTGGCATTTCATTGCATCTTTTACCTTACAGATAATGCAATCATTTGGTACTGCTAGCAAGAGCAGTCCTTGAGAGAAAGAAAAGGAAGAAGCAGATTCACAACCTGAGTAGCAGCCATGCTTCAGGCCCTGGGGAGCTTTCAGAAAACAAGACAGTTGCAGATCAATTTATCTTTTTAGTTCCTTTTTATTACCACAGCATGCAGATGAGGAAACCAGACCCTGTTGTTACCAGATTAATATTTGAACACTCTGGGCACCGGAGCCGGCTCATCTGGTGTGGGTTTGCCTAGAGCATGACACAGAGCAGTCACACAGACCCGGCACCCTCACAGAGACACGTCCAGCTCCAAGGTCTGACATTTAGCTCTTGCTCTCACTCGATGCCAGTCTGCCAGTGATAGCCACAACAGCCCGATTCAGGTTTCACAGCTCCCTGGGATGGAACACTTCCCTGCTTCACATTACAAGTTCACTCCTCTCTACTATCTGATTGCTTCTGCATTCTGTTGAGATCATGATTTCTTCTAGATAAATCAGGAGCCTGAGCCTGTCCTGACTTCCATCACCTTCCAGACTAGGATATTAAAAGGAAAATAACAGGATTTCAAAGTGGTATCGAACTCTACTGCCTCTGATTGGTGGCAGCATTTCCAACAGGAGTTAAAAGCAGCAGAAAGATGAGGTTTGTAAATAAACTGAATCATTTGCTAAATTAAGCAAAATAAATGCTGCTTTTCCCTGCTGCTTTCTTACACTGCAAGTGAGGATTCCTGCATGCATTAGGAAGCACTGGCAAAAAACTGAACCATCGTCTTGGCAGGATGTTTCACAGCAATTTTCGGCCTGAAGAGCTCCAAGTATTGTAGAAATGGAATATCACAAGGTTGGAGTACAGCAGTCAGCTCCCAAAACAACAGCAGGAGAGGAAAATATTTAGAAAAACAAAATTAGTCATTTGTAAAAGCTGCAGGTTCTTTTTCGCCTTGTGTTTCTTGCTTTCACTTTCTAAGACCTCATCTAAATAATGGAGGACATCTTTCAGATGTCATTTAAGGACTTCCATGCTCATTTAGACACTGTGATTTGGAGGTATATGCTACTAGCAGTGGCCCAAGGGTTGCTAACAGAGGGCAGGAAGGTTTGGATGAATATACAGTGGCACTGATGCTGGTATGGTCATTAACAAATGTGGATTAAAAAAAATCTGTTGTTCATAGCCCTCCACAAAGTGGCCTGTCAGGTTGCTTCACTAGAAGTGAGGTTGACAACAAAAGGATAGTGCTGGGCACTTAAAATTCCTGTTTCAATGGGAATAGTGGAAGGAACAGGAAAAATTCCTGGTTTACTTTGGAAGTAGCAGAAGTTGCTGTTCCTGCTCACAGGTATAAAGCCTTGTTTATAGTGAAGTGCCACTGCAATACTAAACTCTTTAGCACACAGATGGATAAAACAGGGAAAAACTTTTAATAATCAACAATTCTTCATTGCAGCTGGTGCTGTAAGATGCCAGTGGCAAACAGTACATGGACCGTTACATGGGTTACGCTGGAAATGGCTGCAGTCCTCATTGCAAGCAGTGAAAGAGAACTAATGTAACACGTTATTTTAATATAATCCTAAAGGTTGACTGCTCTGTAATGGATTGCAACGTGTGTACTTTTGGGACATAAAGTATCACACTCCTCATTACAAATGAACGCGGTGGAGACACCAGGAATCCTGAATCAGCTTCCATGACTGTTCTTAATGATTTACAGTATTTAAAACACAAAGGGCACATTCTAACGATTTATTTTATCCTACAATATATCTGTGATTCATCCTCAGTAGCCAGATGCAAAGACACGGGTGAATAACGCTATTCATGTGGTGAAAAACAGGAATAACGGCTCAGCGAAAGCACTTCCCTACCCTGTCAGTGAGGCCCGGGGCGATGGGGATCGGCTCGCCTG